ATATATATATATATATATATTTCGTTTTTTTATATAAAAAAAATTCTCATAATTTTAATTCTCGCAATATTTATTGTTGAAAATACATATAAAATATGATCGTCATATTTTACGCATATTGTTGTTACTCGTTCCTCTTTCATATTTCCTACTTGGGACTTACACGGATCTTTTCTGCTTTCGAGAGTATAAAGCAGCCAAAGATGATCCGTCCACAAATCCTGGAGGCTTTTCAGAAAATATTGGTCGAGTTCGTCACGAGCTTTCACTATATGTGACAACACAGCTTAACATGTTTCAAATACACGATATGAAACTTCATCGTGACTGTACTATCTCGTACATACTATCTCGTAATTCGAAAGGAGAATAAAAAAAAATAAAATTTGTGAACAAAAAAGTTTAACAAAGATCAATAATAAAAACAAAGAGCGATAGGAATCGACACAGAAGACGATGCGTATTTATCTTAATAAATAAATTTAATTTTAACGACAATTATATATAAAATTGCAAAGATAAAAACAGTGACGCACTGTCACGATAAAGTTTATCACTATTTTTTTATCTTTACGCCTTTATGTAACCGTCGCGTCGTTAAAATTGTAAATACGCATCGTCTTCTACGCCGACTCCTATTGTCCATTTTATTTTTGTTATTGTATTTTTTGAATTTCCTTCAACAGTTCAATTTCGAATTCTTACAATCGATAAAATTGTATTGCGAATGAAAAATTTATTGATAAATATCAATGTCTCTTTTATGTCACTATACTGTTATCAATTTAAACAGAGAATAGAATTTTAATCTCAATTTGTTATTATTGAAATTATAACAAATTCCAGAATTTCTGAACAGTAGATACAAAATTTTATTTTTGCAACACTCATTAATGATACAAAGCTAATATCGCCCGTGATATCATTTAATAAAAATATTGCTATTTACATTTTCAATCCCTTCGACAGCGATATAAAATATCTCACATGGAAGAAATTCGTATTTTTGGCGGACACAACGAAATGTTACACGTAAAAATATTTTCGCTAAATACATTGATGTCTTCACGAACATATTTCGCCGTCAACAATATTTATTTTACATAATACGCGCACGATTATGTCAGCCTTCTCTTTATTTATATTTAAGATGCCCGAAGGGTCGAAGCGAAATACAATGATATGATCTGACAAGGCAATTCTCTTATAGTATCTTCTTCTATATTCGATTTATTTCACGCATCGACAGCCGTCACAAAAAATGCCTTCTGTATGACAAGATGCGCTATAAAAATCGTATCCATCTACCTCATCTATCCGCTGGCGCCAAAAATCCTCGGTGATCGAGTTACATGATTGATGATGCATCAAGGACTTAGGTAAAGCCTTTTTCCCTCCTAAGAAAGAAAAACAACTAAAGCTCATTTATCGAATTAAGCCATTGGTTCTACCTTCCACTATTCCTTATCGTGTAATTTGCATTACGTAATCAATTGTCGTAGCATCCGCCGTTTGGTACAATAATACAAAATATAAAGCGGACATACATAAATTTTTCTAATAAAATAGAATATGCATAAATTAAAACATGCAATAGAATACGTAATAAAATAGAATATGAAATAGAAATTCGACGTCTCGGCAGCGAACATTGATCACGGGCGTACACTTCATCATTACGCTTAATTATATATCTTATTACGCAATTAATAATACGTATTTATTGATTGACCATGCGAATAGGTGGGAACTGCACGACTGCATTTTGTGTATGACCGTATATGTTTGCTTTGCAAATAAATCACGTAAATTCCACCCAATTCCATTTCTAGCTCTTTTGTCACGCAGCCATTTTTATTATGCCCAGCGGGAAGCCGACGCCCCGGCAACTATATTATAATACCATTTCATAATAGTGCGATCAGAGAAACCGCAATGCGCTCGTTAACTAAAAATTCATTAATATCTCGCGCCGTTTTTTTCCCCGTACTGGAAAAATTCACAATGCATCTGGCGCCGTATACGCGTCATATACCATATCGCCGCTCTCCACCGATTCGCGTTCCCCGTGGCGATGGGTAAATTTATCATTCGCGCGAGATTAACACACTTTTGAGATGTACATCACTGTGAAAATTACGTTGCTGCGAGCGAAATGAAGATGGCTCGACTTAGCGCGACGCGAGGCAAACATTTCTCGTGATATAAAATAATATCTTTAGAGGCTATGAGACAGAATTGTACAAAGGGGAAGCTCGCGATTTGTTCGTCTAAATTTAAATTTTCTTAATTTAAATGTGAAATTTGTTCGTCTATGTTTAAATACACCGGTACAGCGATGAGAAGCTGCTAACGGAATCCGAAATGGAATATTACAGACGATGCATTCCAGAAGGATCGATAATATCAAATCTGACAAAGGACAAAGGCCAAGAGGTCGGTCGAACCGCGAGCATCGCGACGATTACGACGCTCTCTAAGCAAAGTCAAACGTCGGACAGGCGTCGACGTTAAATATTCAATAATCACAAACCGTGTCGAGAGAAGGGCGTCAAAGAGAAGCTGCTAATCGAGTAATCGACGACGCTGTCGCAGAATTAATCGCATCATCGAGCAAAGCCACTGTTACGGCAATTAGCTTATCCGTAAAGTTGCCCTTGTAGATTGAACAACTTTCCTACATAGATATAGAACACACACACACACACATACATTTTGCGGTATTATGTTTAATGAGACATCTCTATAACAGAATCACTCTCGAATTACTTTCTCATTTCTCCTGCAGGAAATTTAGGAATATATTTATATATATAGTATATATATATATATATTCGTATCAAATATACTGTACCAGTAACATGTTATAAAGCAATAATAATAAGTAACTTTAATGATGTACAATTATAAAGAAACAAGATTATACCAAAATAAAACAAAACGTAAAATAAGAAGAGAGATGTTCAATTAAAAGATGAAAGATCAGCAATACTGCTGCATACATTGTAACAAATGTCTGGGTTGAAAATGACAAACCAGAGTATTCTGATTACAACAATCAGAATTTCAGTTATCTCAGCTAGAAATCCAGTAAATTTAACCAGAAATCATCCATTTTCAATCAGAATTCCAATTAATCCAACGAGACATTTTTCTCACGTGTAAGAATCTGAAATCCAAGGAACTTTCTTTCAGCTAGTTCTTGAAAATCTGTACAATCCCAAGGAGTAAGTCCTTCTTAAAAATTTTTGAATGATTCAAACAGAATGTAAATCGAAGTCTTCGCTGTCTAATATCAAAGCTGAAAAAAAAAAAGTTTAGAATATTTCGAAAATATATCGCCGTGACTTGATACATTTTCTTTTGATAAGAACTACTTAAATTTAATATGATCGATACCCCCCTCTACTGGATTGCAAAAGTATCGAGAAACATCGTAACATATATTAGTATCGATGATATATCCGGGGGAGGGAGGTAAAGATTTGTGAAACATTAAATTACAGAGGTCAATATAAGTTTGCACTTTTTGCTTGACACAGTGCTGGCATCGACTTAACTAATGGAGACAGTGAAGTATGGATGGTAAAGTTAAGTAACGGCGATATATCTTCGGTATCGAAATATCCATCAGCGTCCCCTTCTCTCTCTTTGGCATCGCGCGAGATTAAACGCGTCAAGCCGCGCTCAACGTTGCACCAGACTCTCATTCTTGACTAACATACGCGCGGCTTAACAGGCGTGTTTACAATGTCGGCAATTCGGACCCTCCAGTTTCTCCCCCCTGATATAGCCGTGAGGTATCCTGCACGCGATTGCGATGCCGCATAGCATGACTCACGAGCGCCGTATAATAAGCGGTGCATCGTCGACACCACAGGGGCCCCCACTATCCCCAAATGCCAAGAATTCGTCCTTGCGAAATCCTTTAACTCTGAAAACCAAAATTTCATCTTGTTCGTTGATTTTCAACATACCACGAATGCGAGATTACTCCAAAATCTCACAAATTCTCTCAGAAATCTCAAATCTTGCGAGCTGAGATTACCGGGGATGGTAGTATGATAAAATATTTCGAGTATATCGTGAAAGAGATAGTAGCGATGAAGATAGATAGAGGGGGGGGAGAGAGAGAGAGAGAGGGAGAAAAATATTTTATAAATCATAATTATTATTACGATTTATAAAATATTACTA